CGAGGCGAGTGGATTACCTGAGCCCATGGGTTCGAGACCAGCCCGGGCAACTTGACGAGACCTCATTTCTACAGTAAGTAAAAAATCAGCCAGGCAGGACAGCACATGCCTCTAGTTCAAGCTACTTGGAAGGTTGAAGCAGGATTGCTGGAGCCCAGCAGGTTGACGCTGGGGCGGCCATGAGTGTGCCACTGCACTCCAGCCTGAGCGACAGAGTGAGACTCCAACTCAAAAAAAAAAAAAAGACAAAAAGAAAAGAAACCGCTGCTTATAAACTGCCCAAAACCTAGTAAGTGATACAGCTGGGATTATAACCAAGTGCATCACACTTCAAGATCCATGCGCTTCCCATTTTCCCACGGTGTCTCAGTGCCTTGTGTTCTTCTAAGTGGGCTGGCCCCATCAGGTTAGAAACCCCTCATGGGACATGGTTGTCTCCTATCCCTCTCTGTTCCCTATGGGGCTTCGAGGGTGCTCAGGCAGTGAGCCCAGATGGGCAAGTCCAGGGTGAAGGTATATATTAAACCCTGCAGGGCGGGAACAGGGAGGGTACTGGACCCGCCTGAGGCTGGAGTTTCACCAACCCCTTGTTTGCTGAATCTCAGAGGCAAAGCATCAGTACCAGACTGAAACATCATCGGGTAGGGGTGACGCCTTTTTTTTTGAGTTGGAGTCTCACTCTGCCGCCCAGACTGGAGTACAGTGGCCGCTCCCGGCCACCACAGCCTCAACCTGCTGGGCTCCGGCAATCCTTCCACCTCAGCCTTCCAGGTAGCTGGAACTACAGGCGTGCGCTACCACTCCTGGCTAATTTTTTGATTTATTGTAGAGATGAGGTCTCGTCAAGTTGTCCAGGCGGGTCTCGAACCCTCAGGCTCAGGCAATCCACTCACCTCAGCCTCCCAAGGCGCGGGATTACAGGCTGCGCCACTGAGCCGGTCTTTTGGAGATGCCGAGGAGAAGAACCCCTTGCTGCAGCTCCCGCTCCTCCTTTCCCTGTTCTCACCCTGCCTTCCCCTCTTTTCACACTGCTTTTGGCTTTCTTGCGACTTGCCCAAGAGGAAAGCAATGCCAGAGCCAGCCGAGCAAAACAGGCGTGCCCCTTCCACCTCCGCACCCGGGCTGAAAGAGAGGCCAGCTACCAGGGCAGGGTCCCCAGCTGCCTCCTGCCCGTCCAGCACTCCCACTACCCCTGTCCCAACCCGCCCTCTTCCACCTGCCGCCTTTCTGCTGGGTGAGGGCATTTCTTCAGACCTCCTGATCTCCTCCTGCCTGGGAGGATGGAGGTATAATTAGCAGCCACCACTCCTGGGGAGTGGGAGGGGAGAGCGGCTCATTAAACCAGCCACACGTGCCTCTTCCGCGGCGGCCTCCTGGGTTCCGCTTTTTCTGCTGGCCCTCTCCACCTCCTGGGCTCCCGTTCCCTGGTCCTTCTTCTCACCCTCTGGCCTCTGCTCTTCCAGGTCTGTGCGGCCTCTCTTCCTGTCTCCCTGGGCTCTGTTTGTCCTCTCTCCTGGGTCCCTTTTGTCTCTGGCCCTCTTTGCTCCGGGTCTCTCCTCCCTCCTTCCAGCTCCCTGGGCTATTTTTCAGCAATTCCTCCTCCCCGCTTTGTTTTTCTTTCTCAGACCCTGTTTCTTGCTGTCCTTCTCCCTGTGATACCCTTGGCCTTTGTCCTCTGCCCCTTGCTTCTCCTGTTCGTTGGCCCCATCTTTTCCCTCTGCTCCTTTTATTTCCGACTCCCCTTTCTTCATCTACTTTATCTCTTTTTTTTTTGAGGCCGGGTCTCACTGTCATCCCGGCTGGAGTGCAGTGGTGAGATCCCGGCTCACTGCAGCCCCCTCCTCCTATATTCAGGCAATCCTTCTGCCTCAGTCTCCCAGGTATCTGGGACTACAGGCGCTTGTCCCCATGCCAGGCTAATTTTTTTTTTTTGTAGAGACAACGTCTTGCGATGGGGCCCAGTTTGGTCTACCTCTTTCCTCTTACTCTGTTGCCTTCATTCCTGTTCTTACCCTCGTCCTCACTACCTCTTAGTGTCTCCACCACACTCAAATAAATATCTGTATACATTCTTTCCCTTTCCTGGAGGGAGGAGAGCCGTGGAAACTTGGAGAGGATGCTTCTGACGTTCCTGGCATTCAGTCCACCAAGTCCCGCATGCGAGACCGGGGACAGGTCATAGTCTGTGGAGTCTGGCAAGGAGAAGAAATCTGAGGATGCCTTCTCCACACTGAGGAGGCGGGCTTTGTGGGGAGTTGCCACGGGTCCTTTGGTAACAGGGTGCCAGCCACACCTGGGCTGCCCACAACAGCTGCTGAGGAAATCCGCAGGGAGGACCTCTTTTTTTGGTCTGCTTTCCTCAGCTTAGGGCAAGAAGGTTCACCCTCTGAGTTTAACTTGGCTTTGCCACACTGCCCCCCTCCTTCTAAAAATGCAGCTGGTGGTGAACTGCCTGCAATTTTGAGGTCAGGGTGAAGGGGTAGGAGGGCGGTGTAGTGCCTCAGAGAAAACATCCAGATCCCCTTTGCCAGATCTGTTTCAAGTTCTGCTTTATGCTGGGTCAGTGCGGTGGCTCACACCTGTAATCCCAGCACTTTGGGAGGCCGAGGCAAGAGGACTGCCTGAGTCCAGGAGTTTGAGACCAGCCTAGACAATACGGTGAGAACTTGTTGTCTCTACAAAATATTAACGGGGCATAGTGGCGCCCACCTATAGGTCCAGATACTTGGAAGACCGAGTGAGATAAAAGGATTTCCTGAGCCCAGCAGGTCGAGGCTGCAGTGTCCGTGATCATGCCACTGTTCTCCAGCCTGGGTGGCAAGAGTGAGACTCTGACTCAAAAACAGATACAAAAAAACAACTCTTGTGCTTTCAGGTAAGATTTTCTACCGCTGGGTCAAAGGCCTTTTCACCCTCATCCCCTGTGCTACCTGTTCACAATGCCTATTCAAGGCTAGGAGCAGTGGCTCATGCCTATAATCCCAGCACTTTGAGAGGCCAAGGCAGGTGGATTGCTTGAGCCCGGAGTTCAAGATCAGCCTAGGCAACACAGCAAAACCTCGACTCTACAAAAAAAATTAGCCAGGCGTGGGATGCACACCAGTCAACCCAGCTTCTTGGGATGCAGTGATAGGAACGCCTGAGGCTGCCATGAGCCGTGATCATCATGATCACGCCACTACACTCAAGCCTGGGCAATAGAGTGAGACCTCGATTCAAAAAAAAAAGCCTGTTCAAAACCCTTTGTCAAGCTGGGGTTCAGTGGCTCAAGCCTGTAATCCCAGCACTCTGGGAGGCCGAGGCAAGAGGATTGCCTGAATCTAGGGATTCAAGACCAGGCTGGGCAACTTGGTGAGACCTCATCTCTACAATAAATCAAAAAATGTGCCTGGCGTGGTGGTACGCACCTGTGGTTTCAGCTGCTTGGAAGGCTGAGGTGGACGGATCACCTGGGCCCAGCAGTTCAAGGTTGCAGTGGCCATGAGCGTGCCACTGCACTCTCCAGCCTGGGAGACAGAGCGAGACTCCAACTCAAAAACAAACAAAAAAACCCTTTGTCTCTTACCTGCCCCCCACTTTCCTGTCTTCATCTTACCAAGATAATGTTAGACAACAGGGATGTCTTTTCCAGCAAAACAATGTTTTCTTCCCATTTTCCAAACTGTTCCTGAAATTACACTTCTTCCAGGAAGTCTACCTGGATTGACTCCACTTTAAAGATGGAAGAAATTATTGAATCCCATCTCAATTTAGGGTTAGGACACTAAAATTGCCACAGCAGCTAAATGACTCACATAGTCTTGATGGCAAAGCTAAGAGAAGACACACACGCCTCCTAATTCTGCTTCTTGTGCTCTTTCCATCGCACCAAGCTGTCGTCTAATCAGAGAAGGAAGAATTGATGGTCCCGTCTGGTTCTTGGGGGATTTCCATAATTATGCCTCTTGTTCTGTCTCCCAAAATACCTTCCCTTGTAGTCAGTCTCTCTGCTATATTTGAGATTGGTGTTGTTGGTCTTCAGCGAAAATTTACTTAACTGTGAGCTCCTGGAAGGCAATAACCATACCGTATTCATCTCTGTTTCCCCAGGACCTAACAGTGCCTGGCACTCAATAAATGCTTGCTGAATTGAAACCAACTGAAATGAAAGCATGCTATTGACTGTCTAAAAGAGCAGAGCCCTTGCCATCAATAAGAAGGTGAGGGAGGTATTTTTTTGTAGACAAGAATGAGATAAGGCACAGCCCAGGCCACTGGGGACCAGACCCCTTCTGCTACTCCTCACCACTCCCAGAGGACAATAGGGCCCTGGAATGATGCCTGGGAGCACAGCTAGTACTTTCTGCCCTTTCTAAGGCCAAGAGCAAAAGACATCACCTCTGTTTGGCCCACTCCATGGCTGCAGGTCAAACCTGTGATGGGGAGAAAGCAGAGGCCACACAGGCTGCCAGAAAGAACTTCAAGGCCAATGTGGTGGCTCCTGCCTGTAACCCCTGCACGTTGGGAGGCTGAGGTGAGAAGACTGTCTGAGCCCGGGAGTTCGAGACCAGCCTGGGCAACTCGGCGAGACCTCGTCTCTAAAATAAATCAAAAAATTAGTCAGATATGGTGGTGCATGTCTGTGGTTCCAGCTGCTTGGGAGGCTGAGGCAGAAGGATCACCTGAGTCCAGGAGGTCAAGGCTGCGGTGGCTGTGATTGTACCACCTCACTGCAGCCTGGGTGACAGAGTAGGACTCTGACTCAAAAAAAATAATAACTTCAGAGGACTCCCAGGGACCCTGGCATCATCTAGGGTGGTCACTCCTGGCTCCTCCTGGCCCCAATCTGAGGTCTTTCTTCACGAGCATTCACACAAACGCCTGTGTGTCTGTGGGAGGAAGAAGCAGGCTGGGGCCCTTGGCACCTCAGAAGCCCACAGACGCAGATATGATGGGCAAGGGAGGAGCCTGGCGGGCAGTGCTTGTCTGAACACCTGGACCCTCTCTCTCCTGCCTTTCCGATGAAGTTATTGTGCGATTTGTTGTGGGAGCTGCTTGTACAGTTTACATCTCAGGGCCTGGATTCTGGCACCTCGCAGAGGATCTGGGGCAAGTCCAGACTTTTGACCGCAGGGGGCAGTGCATCTGTAGTGGAGATCCCCGAGTGTGTGAAGGTCACTCTGTACCTAGTGGTATCCCGTGGACACTAGGTGTAAACTCAACGGGGACAACGAGGCCAAAGAATATGGCTGCTGTTTAGCAGTGGCAGAAGGAGCACTGGAACGGGGGTCAGGAGTCAGGAATTCCGTACCTGGCTCCATCAGAAGCAGCTATGTGGCACTGGACAGGTTGCACCCCTTCTCTGGTCTTCAGTTTCATAATTCATAGACTAGGTCACCTCTCAAGTCCTTTCCAGAATCGACATCCCAGAACACAGTAGGTGTTTAGCACAAGTTCAGTGCTTGAGTAGATATAATTGTGAGACCCTTTCCTTGGGATATTGATACTGTCCTCCACTCACCTCCCATTGGTCTCATCTAGTTGATAATGGCCCCTTCCACCTCCTCTTAGTGTCTTGTCTTCCCCACTTCCGTGGGCCCAGAAATCAGAACGCAGTCTCTCAAAACTCCATCATACTGACCCACTTCTCTAGAACCCACAACGGCTGCCTACAAAGACTCAGGCGCGTAAGGCTTTCATAACTACCCACCGAGCCCCCCAGACGCACCCACCCCTACACCTGGAGTGGATCTCTTCCTCCCCCTTGTAAGCCACGCCACATCCTCTCCTGCGCCCTGCTCCAGGCTTACCTCTTTAAGGAAGCCTGACCAAACTAGCACCATCCATAACCACACCCAGTATTACTTCCTGTCCCTCCAGTATTTAACACCCCAGGCTACATTATATTTCTCTACAGTTGCTTACACATATCCTGGTAAGTACAGGCACAATTTGCCTCTGAGTGAACAAAAGGGGCTAGAAATAAACCTCTTTCTTAAGGCTCACCACAGCTGCCACACCCAAAGAACCTCCAAGGGTTCCCTCAGGCTCCCCAGGAAAGAGGGAAAGGCCAAAACCATAACTTTATATATATATATCCTGTAACCTGTTATAGAGAGTAAATACTATTCAGTCAAAAATCCTGCATGTGCACATTTCTTCTTAACCTCAATTACAGATTTACACAAAGAGTTACAGCTCATGCCGGGCTCGTTGGCTCAGCCTGTCATCCCGCGCCTTTGGGAAGCTGAGGTGAGTAGATTGCCTGAGCCCACGGGTTCGAGACCCGCCTGGGCAGCGAGACCTCATCTCTA